GACCAGAGGGCAAGTTTAGTTGAGCACCTCCTGCTGCCTCTTCTCCCGAGATCACCTTGCTGAAAGAGCATCTGACCCATGACTGGTCTGTACTCACCTGTGCCTGGCATGGGTGTTGACGTGGGTGTCTCTTCTGAAGGTGTGGTGATGGTGGTGCCTGGTGTGGTTGGAGTCATATCTACGAAAGAGAGAATGATATAAAGAAATGAATCCTCCTTGACCAGCTTATGTTCTGACAATTGTTCTGACAATGCCCTTCTAGGTCTAATGAACACGTATTAATGAAAAATTTGAAGATGTTTTAATGAAATGAGTAGAAGTGACCAGTACTGAAAAATTGACTATAAAACATGAAGTTTTAAGTGTCTGAGAATGTGTGGTTTTTTACAAATCTCTTCCTCAGTTGTCATCATCATGCATTAAGATCCTATATTTTTACACTGTGTCAGTCACAATTCTTTGTCATTGCAAATTGCTCAAAGATGTCCTATTTGGCATAGTAGTATTCAGCTGGCTCTCAAAATCCTTTTTAGGTGGAAATCTAGACTTCATAATGACAGTTGTCTGACATTTCTTTTTACTGCTCATAAACTGGTATAAGAAGTATTGTTTTGGAATTGGAAAGAGACTACAGAATGGCTTTTCATGTAATAGCCTCATACTTATGCTGTCATTTCTGCTCGCTTTGGTAATCACCTCTGGAGGTTCTAGAAAAAGCAATTTAAAGATACAAGGAAGAAATTTTTTACAATGTGGATGGTGAAACACTGGAAATATTCATGGTCAGGTTGGATTTTGAGTAACCTTGTCTAGTTGGAGACAACCCTGCTTGTTGCAGGGAGGTTGAAGTAGATGACCTTTAAAGGTCCCTTCCAACCCAAACTGTTCTATGATTCTATGAATTTCGTGCCTCTAGCCTTACCTCTGTGTTAACTCATTTGCCTAGATAAGAAGAACCTAAGGTTGAATGGATCTCAAGCTGCAGGATTCTTTTTATTAGTTTTAAAGCCCGTTTTTATGCTTGGTGAAAATTTGGAGCTGTAGATAGTTTGGGTAAGTGATATGTTAACATTTCTCAAAAAGATAAAATATTTTATTAAAGCCAAAGTGGTGATTTGTTAGACAAATGTTCAATTGTCCCTGGCTGAACACTTAGCTGACAGTGTATGTTGTCTCTCCCAACCCAGTTCTGAAAAATAGTCTTAGGTCAAAAGTGTTCAGACATCATGTTCCAAAGTGAATACAGGAAGCCCATTAGAAGCTTAGATTAGAAGCCAAATTTACAGAGATGCTAAGCATTTGAAAGCTTCCTGTGTTTCATTGAATCCCCATTTCTGAAATTCTGTTCAACTTCTCAGGCATTTGAATTTATATTTGTAGTATAAGGACTTAATTGGATGGTTATTTGCTAAATGACCTAATGACTTACTGCAGATGGTATCTTTACTCCATTCACCCAGATTTACACCTCCAAGTTCACAGGCAGCAGCATATGCCTCTAAAATCTTGCAGAACTGGTCAGAATCCCCCTCTGTGGCACACAGATCATAGACACAGCTCTCGAAGTACAGCTGTGGGGGAATGTGCCAATGGCAGGCCTGAAAAGGTCCACTATTTTTCAAAACAATTTTGCAGAGTTCTTCATATTCTTTCTCTTTTGCTGTGTCACAAGCAGGCGGCACAACTGAAACTGTATTACACCTGCATGGAAAGTACATAGCAGAGTGGTTATAGAATAAATCTTTGTATTTTGTTATATCCTGCAAGGCATATCTCAACTACAATAGAATCCTATGCCAAATTCTGCAGATTTGCTGTGTATAGTCATCTTTAGTGTGTCAAACCCAAAAGTGAAAAATATTACAACTTAACTCATAACACCCCATTAAGAATATAATAGTGAATTTGCAATGTATGGCTGTCTATCCATAAAATGAAGTCCAGAAGAAACCAACAAATTAGCTATCCAACACAAGATAATTTTAATTCCTTATTGCATATAGTGAGGGCAGTAATTTGTATGCGAAAGCATTAATAGACAAAAAATGCCCCTTGCCTATGTTAAGCAAGGTGCAGTTATCTTATAATCTGAATCTGAGATATATTGAGACTTCTTATAGCAAGAAGGAGGAATATAAAGGAGACATTTTAGAATAAGAAAGTAAGGAAAAATTCAAGTTATATGCATAAAAAGGAGTCCAATCTCAAGTAAAATCTATAAAGCTCATGTGGAAAAGCTCTGAAGGGTGATTTTAAAATGTCAATATTTTCTGTTGAAAACTGGACTCATTCAAAGGTGAAAACAATAGGAAACCAGTAATATCAAAGAAGGGTTACTATGGAATGTAAATGATGTATATTAGGCCTATAACTCCATGATTTATGTTTCAGGCACTTTGCTGTTTCCTAAAGTATCATCTGATACTTACGTCCTGTTGTCATCCTTCACTATCCAGCTGTCACCAAATTTATTTGGATCCTGTTCTAGGACTTTATCCGGGTTTAAAAAGTCATCCAGTTGGTTGTCATTGAATGTTCCACAAAGACCACACAGCTGTCCTTTGAGACTTTCATCAACCAGAATGAAAAGCTCCTGGTCACCATCAAACTTAACCTGGATCCCTAGAGAGGTATCAACGACCACGTAATGTCCTTTTATGGCTACTCTGGCTCCATGGTTCAAATCCACAGGAAGTTTAACCTGAACTCCATCCACCTAAGGAAAACAAAACCCACAAAACCAGTAAGTCAATAAAGCTCCCAGGAACAAAGGGGAGGTCTGCACTGCCAGCACTATAGTTTTCTCCACGGAGTCAGCCTTATTCTAGTGAACAATGGAGATAACAGAATTTTGAGGTTAAGCAGAGACTAAAGCAGTATACACTTATTTCCTACCTTGAATAGTGTCTTGTAGCACAAGTTTAGCTTTGTGCTGTCACAACTACACACAAAGCAATACTTGGAATAGTTAATTTAAAGCTAAATCTTTCTATTATAGATGAAGTCATGGATGAAGTTTTTCATCCTACAAGCTCATTCAGAAAATATCTGAATGGACAAAAAGAAGCTATGCTGATTTCTGCCTTTTTGGGAAAAAAAAATAATTCTGTGACTTTTAGCATGTGCAGTCTTGGAGGTGAATAAATCAGAGAGGGCTGATTCAGTTCTTTTGGGCAGAAATGTAAAGTGCACAGTGATGGACTGTTTATGCTAAAAGTAGAACACTTACATAGGTCTCTCTATTTTTCTTCAAAACAATGTGAAGGTTTTCCAGTGTGACAGAAACTGAGTTCAAGGCTGTCCAGTTCGGGTTTCCTCTATGTTCATTTCTGGTAGTCACTGAAAACTTTTCAGAAGAATTTGTGCATCTCTCAACAACAGTATAATTGCAGTCTCCTTGGAAATGGTACAATCTTCCATCAAAAGTTATATAATGTGGATCCCCAAAAATGTGGCAGGTGCTGGGATTCAACGGGTAACATCCCAGGAGTCCATTCTGTACCTTGCAAACTTCACTTACTTCACACATGTCTGAATTGCAAACTACAGTCCCATTTCCAGCACATACACATTGGCCTACACAGTCTGGTTGCCAAAAAGATTCTCCTTTCTGTTAGAGAAATTCAAATAAATACAAATTAAAAGAGTTAATGGTAATGTTGAACTGTGAAAGAAGCCCCAGGACTATGTGCCAGAACTAACCTCATAATATTTGTCATTCTGAAGGCAGCCACAGTTGCTCATGGACACACACTGTCCCCCACTGATGACAAAACCATTGTTGCATTCACATCCTTCTACACAAGGTTTGCTGCAGTTCTTAGATGCAAGAGGGTCAGTGCAGGTTGCTGGACAAGCACTGGTGCATGGGTTGTAATGACTGTTGGGAGGGCATGCAACAGCTGAGAAACAATAAAAGGCACTGAATTAACAATCACAACTCACAGGAAACCACTATTCAATAATGTAATTGTTTTGCCCTAGTGACAACTGTAGGGTTTTTTTGAAGCCTGAAGTTCTGCCCCCTATCAGAAAGTAATATAGTAAATATTCCACATGGAAAAAAAAAGCATGAATGTCTAACAATATATCCTGGATATTAAGTATCTCCAAATCCAAATAAAAACTTTACCTCTTTACACCAGATCTTGTACACAGACAATACATTTCCATGAGTATAGGGATTGCTAAATGGATTAGATGTAGCCTGGAAATTAGCAAGCCGATTCAAGGCAAAACATCTTCTAGAACTCAGAAGTGATTTCACATTAGCAGAGGCATACTAGTACTGGTTTGACAAAGATTCTTGAGATAATGAACAAAATTCTCCTCTGTTCTCTGGCAGAAAACAATCATGGCAAGACTTTTGCAGAACTTTATTTCTCAATATTTTGTTGTAATTATGTGAAGAATTTAAGACCCTTAAGCTGTGTCAATTATTGGCTAAAATCAGGCTCTTAAGACAACAACAAAGCTATTGAAAGACTCATTTCACTATGGAAACTCACGGCAGAAGGTAGCATTCCTCCAGGGCAGAAGAGTCACGCCAGCTGCCTGGCACGCGTCAGCATAGGCCTCCAGAGCAGCACACAGAAACTCCTGGCCACCATTCAGGGCACAAAGGTCGTAGAGGCAGGTGTCAAAGTAGCTCTGGGGGTTGATCACGCTGTGGCACGTCTCAAAAGAGCTGGGCCTGCTGGTCAGTATGCCACAGAAGCGGTCCGACTTGTAGAGCTCCTCCTCCTCTGCACTGCAGGGTGGGGAGGGGACGGGGACACCGCAAGAGGGGTCACTGTCTGGGACCTGCCAGCTCTCCCCCAGTGCATTGGAGTCTGCGGCTTGCTGCCCGTTTGGCATCATGTATTCGTCGTCTCTCCGGTTGTTGAAGTTCCCGCACATGCCACAGGTCAGGTTGAAGTAGGTGGTGGGCACCTTCACCTCCACCGAGTGGTCAGTGTCGTAGGACACTCTGAGGCTGAAGTCTGTCTCCAGGACGACGTAGCGGCCGCTCTTGCTCACCGTGATCGCACCTCCCGCTGCCCTCACCGGCAGGGTCTGGCGCACACCGTTCACCTAGGGCAGACACAGTACCATGGGCCCTGGACTTGTCCCTGGCCTCCCCGGGGTCTCCTGCCTGGGGAAAGCAGCTGCCAGGCCAGGCACGGCAAACAGCTGCCTGGGATACCCTCACACCCCACACCCCTGGGGCCCACAGAGCCGTTTCTGTGTCCTGCACTCTGCAAGGGCCTCTGCTCAACAGAGAGCACATTCCCCAGTTGCCTCTTCCTCCTCCAACCCCTCTGGAAGGGAAAAACAGAGGAACCCAGTGGCTTCAGGGGAACCCCCCCAGGCCTGGAACAATGAAGGCAGCTGGTACATGCCAGGCCCTGCCAAGGACAGCCAGTCCTGCCTTGCACCCACACCACACCCATGCCAGCTCCGCCGCCTACCAGCACTTGGCTCTTCTCCTGCTTGAGGATGGCAATGCGCTGTCCGTACACCTCAACCAGCACTTCACGCACATAGGACACCCTGGTGTTGCCACGATGCTCGTTCTTGGCCTCCACATTGAAGTAGGGCAGGGAGGTGGTGTTGGAGCACACTTTGGCCAGGGTGTAGGTGCAGTTGCCCATGAAGTTGTGCGTCACCTTGTCAAAGGTGTTGTAGTGAGGGTCCCCGTGGACGTGACAGATGCCGTAGGAGTGTTCGAGGCACACGGGTTTCCCACCCTGCACCCCGCAGTACTGGCCCGCAGGGCATGAGGCTTCGAAACACTGGACTTTGCTTCCCCGTGCGGGACACGTGCACTTGGAGGAGCAGCTGTTGTCCGTCCAGAACTCGGAGCCCACAGGGTAGTGCTGCCCGTTGTGCCAACACCCACACTGCTGGCTGGGCACACATTGGTCGTGGTAGAGCAGGTACCTGCTGTCACACACACAGCCCTCCACACACGGGAGGCTGCAGGTAACTGGAGCCGTTGGATCAACACAGGTGGCAGGGCAGGCAGCAGCACATGGCTCATAGTGACTGTTGGCCGGACAGGCTAATGCTGTGTAGTAAAAGATAAAGGTATATATTAACATTTTTTAACTACTTAAGTATTGGAGTTTTTAAATATCATATTGTGATTGCTTTTGAAATGTTTGGGAATATCTTGGAATTAGAGGCACTTTGATACATGCCTTTGTTGTCTTGACACACTGTCATTTCTTTTGAGATTTGGGCTGTTTAAGGTTTCAGTCATAGAGAGCATTTCCTAGGATGCCTCTTATTCTCAAAGAAAGATGATTGCTTTAATTCTTGCACTGCACTGAAGGTATCAGTGTAATGTTAGCTATTTGTCCTAAACATGGGCTATATTTATATTATAGTCCTGATATTTAATTCTAATCATGTCTTACCTTCTTAATTCATATTTTTTAACTCCATCAAAGACTTTAATGTTTGTTAAATAATCAGGATGTACAAGTGCTCTATTCTATTTTTGGATTCTATTACATATATGACATATATCTAACCAAGGTAATTAGGGTTTTTTAAGACTATTATATTCTGTTAAGAAGATGTGAGAACTGGAGTTTCCTGAGCAATATTTTTTTCAGCTTCTAGATGTTCAGGTCCACTAAATTAAATCAGCACAAGGAAGGGAAGAGAGGTCCTGCAAGCTCCTTCAGCAGAAAAAATAGTTGCAGACAGCTCACTCCCACTAAGAAACCACATAACCTATGTGAGAAAAAGCCTCAGTAATGTCCTCAGCTGAGAATATGCTCCAGATAGATACTGAAGCCAAATGTGAAACAAAAGTCAGAATGAAATCAGGTTTCAGTCATTCCAGTGTTTTCAGACACTCTCTTTAGTCTCCCCATCTCCTTCAACACAGAAGTCACATAGGTCACTGAATCACTATTCCCTGTTCCTTTCATTCTGGTGGGAGCAGATCTGTTCAGGACTTTCAGACAGTATTTGAATCTTGTTCTAAAAATAATATGGGTGGGTTTTATCTACAATATATGCATGAACACTTGAGGTTGAAATATTCTTTATTTACTCTTTACCGATACTCACAGAAGAAGGGTTATTATTCCCATTTACTCCCTAGAAGAGGCATCTATCTATTACCTCAATACTTGATGCCTTTTGTCTTGTACCTCTGTGTGTTTCTTTCCCTTCCCTCTCCTCTCCACCCCCACTACCTTTTCCACCTTCAGTAGTGTGGTTACAATCTCCATTGCACAGACTTCCTACTTCAGTCCTGGCCTTTATTTCTAGGTCACCTATCGGTGTTGCCTCCTTTCCCATATGAAACCATGGATGACCATAACTTTATAGGACACTCTAATGCTTTCCTCCACATCCATAGGGATGACACTTCCTACTCTCTTATACATTCAAAGCAGCTTAACTATTTTCTCTAGAATCTTACAAAAGGAGTCAAACTGAGGACTACATATAAACCTGAGATCTTTAGCCTGATCAGTCAAGATTCTCAATGTTACATGAATTCAAAACAGTGTATTGCAATGCTCTGTGTTCAGGAAGTCCTCATAATACCCTCCTGACAAGTGGTAATTTCCAGTAATCTTTGATACATACGGCAGAAGGTTGCATTTCTCCATGGTGCCAGCTGGACTCCTGCAGCTTGGCATGCATCTGCATAAGCCTGTAGGTTTTCACAGAGGGCTGCATTGTTCAAATGAAGTTCACAGAGATCATACTGACAGCCTTCAGAATAACTTTGTGGATCAACTACTGAGTGGCAGTTCTGGAATGGACCATTTGGATCTGTGATCAGACCACAGTATTCATTGCTTTGGATCATATGTTTTTCATCAGTAGTGCAATTTGGAGTATGGTCATAATCTGGTGAGCATCTAATGTGGAAGAAAAAGAAAAAAAAAAAGTGGAAAAATTAATGGATGAACTTCGGATTCACCAGCACCAAAGGTGCTTTTCAAATCACATCTAACAAAACTACAGGTTCTGTTCCCAGACTAAGCATAACATATTTTAAATCCCTACATTTCAAACTCTTAGGAAAGAAAATCAGATTGTAATATGATCTCAACCTGGTAATACTTGAGAGACCTCGAAGAAACCCATTTTTGGTTTTTTGGTAAGTCAGGCTGCCTACATGGAGAGGGAAACAAAGGAGAAGCATTCAAAATTAAACCACTATGATTATTGAATAACATATTATGAAATTATAAATAAAGAGTAAAGTATCTCAGAAGAGTTGAAAAAATGTTGAAATGCACATTGAAATGTATGTTGAAATGTACATTGAAATGTACAAAAGAAAATTAGCCAGGCCATTAGTAAAACCCACGCTTGACAATTTTCATCTGAGTGAAATCAAAATGCAAGCTCTTGGTGAGGAGTACAAGCAATGTCTTAGTGAGGTGTGTTCAAGACACAGATTTATCATCTAACTGAATGGAGAGGGAGGAAAATCCTGTGATTCAGAATGTAGATGTAATACTCATGAATGACCACAAATATGCTTCCTAGGAAGGCTAAATAAATTAAGGAACTTTAATCTCTCCCTATTTTTTTCTCTTCAGACACACAGAATTGAAAAAATCAGGATGAAATCCAGCTGCCTAGACACATCGGTCCAGTGCTGAGATGCCTAAGGGTCTCCAAGAAGTCTGGTTGAAGGTTGAAGACTTATGAAAGACTCATTTGTTCTGTCTGATCTTATCTCTTGGTGAGATAATCCACAGAATTTAAAATAGCACTGAACCCTGTCAGTGAAGTCATTCCCTCTGGTGAGTACTACAGGAGAGACTTAGGTTTGTTCATTTATACCCATTGCCATTACCATTTGCTTCTTAATTATGTGAAGTGTGGAAGAAATCGTTTTGACATTAGAAAGCTGTACAAACCAAAGGCACACCTACTGATATCAAGGCACACCTACTGATGCCAAGGTATGCCATAAAAAAAAGAGATCCTCAAGAGAACAATTATCCAATCTGCTAGGTACATTGAAAAATCATTCAAGTCTAAAAATTAGTCATAAATTACATAAAACATTACCATAATTAGCATCCTGAAACTTGCTGGTGGTAAATCTAGGTCTTTTAGCTGGGCAGCAAAAGGAAAGCCTTCCTGGCTGAGGAAATAGCACCTCCTTTTATCTGTTGCAACCCACAGGTGGATTCAGCTGTGCATGGCATTTCAGGCTCTATCTCCATTCTCCCTGTCTGGCCTGTATTTGTACTTATGTATTCTCTGTGTTTGCTCAAACAGTACTTCACTAGGGGAGGAAAGAAGCCCCCATGGCCTTTCTCTCCTGTCAGCATGGCAAAGCAAATGAGAAAGGGAGTGTCTCTCTCTTATATGGGAGTATTGTTTGCTTGCACTTGTGTGCCCTAGGTTGCATCAATGTCCCCAGAGACACATTCAAAAACAAGTATTTTTTTTCTGATTTAAGTGGCTGCTGTTCCTGAAAACCCCAATGTGTAAGTAACCCTAAAACTCAAGCCCAGAGGTCCCTCCTGGGGTATGTGACGTGAAGGTATGGAAGCTATGGGTGCAGTGCCCAGCACCTGGCAGGATCCAGTTCCAAAAAATAGGGACAAAGCCCTTCCTCATGGCAAGGCCACAAGGATGTTATTGGCTGTCTGAGCCCAGCAAAAGCCTGAGCTTTTCCTGGTGAATCATTATGATGTGAGGGAATAAAAAGAAAAACAAACCACCACAGCTGGACTCTCTTTGGGCACAAAGAATATGTGGAGTAAAATTTGCGGTGGGAAGAAGGAAGGGATCATTACCCTGTACTCGACACTAGTGAGGTGACACCTTGATTCCTGTGTTCAGTTTTGGGCCGCTCACTATCAAAAAGACATTAAGGTGATGGAACATGTCCAGAGAAGAGCAGTAGAGCTGGTGAAGGGTCTGGAACATGAGTCTTGTGAGGAGCATCTGAGGGAACTGAGATTGTTAGGGCTGGGGAGGGGAAGCCTCAGGGGACACCTTCTCTCTCTGCCACTACCTAAAAGGAGGTTGAAGTGAGATAGGGCATGGTCTCTTCTTCTGGGTGACAGGTGATGGGGTAAGAGGAAATGGCCTCACGATGTACCAGGAAAGATTTAGAATAGATTTTAGGAAGAATTTCTTCACCCAAAGGGTTGTTAAGCATTGGAACAGGCTACACAGGGAAGTGGTGGAGTCACCATCCCTGGAGGTATATTTAAAAGATGTCTAGGGGCACCTGGGCCCATGGTTTGGTGGTGGATGTGGAAGTGCTGGGTTAGCAGCTGGACTTGATTATCTTAGAGGTCTTCTCTAGCCTACAAATTTCCAAGATTCTGAGAATTTTTCTCTTTTTAAGCACAGTTAAATTTTCTGTGAAACTTTACTCAGATGGATAAAGTAAGTACACTAACAAGAATATATTTTATCCCATATACTTGACATTTTTGACCCCCACACAACAGCTAATTAAAACCTGAGTCATTGCATAGCCAACAGCTAAGACCTACCTCGAGTCATTGTAAACCTGCCAACTGTTGCCAAGGCTGGCTGAGTCTTCTTCCATCTCTCCATCTGGGTTAAGGAAATCATCTGCTTTATGCCCGTTATAATTTCCACATATTCCGCAGACTTTAGACATATAGGTACTGGGAAGAGTGATTTCTGCTCTGTGATTTCCATCAAACTTGACATGCAGCCCAAAGTCAGTAGCAACCACAACATACTGCCCACTGAAGGAAATATTTACACCGGGTGCCAAGGTCAGAGGGACCACCTGGCTGACTCCATCAATCTGCAGGCACAGAGAAGGACAGGCATTATAAACACTTGAAAAGAAGTATTTTTAATGGTGACTTTCTTAGATCCCTATATTGAGCATAAAGCTTGCACAGTGAGCAGTAAGAACTCACACTATGGTATTTTTTAACATGAATATTGTCTATGGCCACATAATTGAGGGCCTTGAGGCCACAACAATGTGGCCACATAGCTTACAGGTGTGATCTTGGTGAACCAGATGCAGCTGGCAGAACTCCAAGACTTAGCATGGTCAGCAGCAACTGTCTACAGACCTATTCTTTGGGTTTTTTTAAAAATCAAATCAGACTAAAAAATGTAGTTATAATGGATTCTCAGAAGATTTTCAGGATTGGACAAATCTTGGAAAAGCATCTTTTTGGTTTTTCTCTTTTTTTTTCTCTTTTAATTTTTACATTTGAAATGTGAGACAAAAGAAAGCAAATTTCCAAGCAAAGTTTTCAATTTATTTAAAATTTACTAAAATTAGTATCTACTCCTTTGTTCTTATTAGAAATGTAGGAAAGTTTGGTTTGCTTAGAAACCTATATGTAATAAAAACAGTAAATACAGGGGAAAGGTACAAGAAAGAGGCTGTGGGACAAATGTGGATAAATGACTTTTCTGGATATACGAGTTTTCTATGTTTCTAAGATGAGATGGGAAAGGTTTTGGTGTACATTCAAATCTTTATCTGCTGTCATTTAAATTGCTGTACTATTTTCTTGTAAGAAGGGTGGTAATGAAGTAAGGTGACCTGTTCATTTGCTGGGGGGTTGACTCAAACATTTCTGCTGCCTTGGCCCATTATGGAAAGGATCCATAAAGAAGGTTTAAAATACAATAGCTGGCCAAGTGACACAAGCAGTGTAAGGAGTCATCAGATTGTCATTCCAGGACTCTCATCTGGCCCTGCTTTATTGTAAATGCCAGGTGTTAAGTGAAGTTAACAATGAAGTGGAATAAGTAGAAGTCAGGGATGAATATGAAGCTTTACAAGCTGCCACACAGGATCAAGAACTAACTACCAGCACAAACTCAGTTAATGTAGGGCCTTTTTATTCCCTGTTACACTCCAAGGCTGAGCGCGGGGAGCAGGTTAGAAAAGTAAGCTGGGCCACCAGCCACACCTGGAGTGTCAGCTCTAACCCCACCTTTTAACAACACAGCACAAAATTTTATCCTGTGCTTTAAGTTCTGAAATTCCAGTGTTTAAGAACTTCACATTACTCCTGCTCCTAAACATCTGACTACACTCTAAATATTGCTGTATGGATGCTGGAAATTTGTAGTCATTGTACAAAAATTTCTTCATTCATGCTATGAGATACTGCTGATAGACAGTGGGCTCCAACCTTACCTTAACAGCTCTGTTTTTACCCAGATTGATCCTGTAGTCATACACATCGACATCCACGTATTGGACGTAGGACACACGAGTGTTGCTCCCCCTGTGCTCGTTGGCTGCTTCCACATTGAAATAGGGCAGGGAGCTGTTGCTCTCACACAGCTTGGAGAGGGTGTAGGTGCAGGTGCCCATGAAGTTGTGTAGCTGCTTGTCGAACGTGTTATAGTGAGGATCTCCATGTATACTGCAAATTGCTTCTGGAGACAGGAAAAAGGAATATGTTCTCATTAACACATGGATACATCCAGAAAGCCCACTTCATTCTGTAGTGGGAAAACACAATCATCCTAATTGTATAGATTACATCTGGAAGAACCGAAACAGAAAGGCAGATTTGCAAGGCATAAGGCAATGTCAGAGAGATACCTATAGAAATTAACTGAAGCAAAGTGGTGGTGGTAAAAATTGCTGGTGTCCTACAAACCATTAACTAGCATACGAGGTTGTCTAAAATTACCTGTCACTGGTGGTGGTGTAGGCTCTGTTGGTGTAGGTGTAGGTGGCACAGGTGTAGGGCCAGCTTCTGTTAGTGGAAAACACAAGGCAATACAATGAGCTTTAACATTACAGGGGGAACACTACTTACATGCTAACACACATTAGTTTTCACTTACTCTTCAGCAGCATAAAGTTAGAAGTTTTTCAGTGAAGTAAGTAGAACTGCCTATTTTTTAAAATTGGGGCTATGTGGGTTTTTTGAGCACTGAGGAAAGCTCATCTGATTGTTAGCTTGATCAACAACTGAGCTCGGACGGCCTCTCTGGAGCTGGAATTGTATTTAGAATCGGGTATGTGACTCCCTCTGGTGTATGTTAAGACACATGAAGGTCCTGCTGGCAGCAAGTGTTGGCAGGTCTGATAGCGAGAGGAACAGAGAAGCTCTTATCTCTTGGAGTTATGTTTGTGCACCATCCGGTGGCTGAATCATGTGCTAATACACCTGGAAAAATGAAGAACTGGCTCTCCCCAGCCCTCAAACAAAAGAAGGTCCCAAGTCTTGTTCATGGTATTTTAAATAAAATCATATGTTCTCAGGGAATGGAAAACTTTGTCCTGGGTAGTGTAAATTTGAAACATGCTATGTCATTAAATGAGTAGTATTTTGCAGAGAAGAAGACCTATTAAGACCGAATGACACTTTCTGTAAATTTTTCTGCAAATTTCTTCTTCAATTCACATTTTGCAAGTATTGTGTGCTTGTCAGTAAAAGCGGATCCCAGTCATCCACAGCTTGTGCCAGTCTTGGCTGATTTGTTACGGGGTCAGAGATCAAGCTCAAATTGCTGATTCGTAGTCAAAGCTGACGGTGCAACTTGGTGTTACTGACTCACTGTTATCTTTTTGAGACATATGGCTGTATTGTGTATTTGATGAGTTTGTATGAACTGATATTTGCTGTAAAATGCTTATCAGCGTATTTAATGTGGAATCCAAATTCAGTGTGCATAGCCTGTTCTGGGTTTAGAGATGCACTTCAGACTTACAAGTGAAGTAAACTTTGCTGGACCTGGTGAAAAAGATCACGTGCAGAGAAAGGGGGGTAGCTTATTTGGGACATTTGAGGTGATGAGGAAAGAACTGGGAAGAAACTACAGCAAAACACATAACACTCAAAGTGAGCTGTAAAGTTTTTGCCATTTCTCTTTTGTGGTTTGAGGTTCTGAGGAGTTGGTGTATTGTATACAGAACAGAGTAATGGTCAACAACTTAAACAGAGATGAAGAAGCAGGACACACTCAGCTGCAAACACAGACTTACCACAGGATCCATCCCTCACTCTCACATTGTCCAGTGCTGTATCCCCATACTCTGTTAGTCCTCGGACAGCCTCAAAAATGACCTAGGCAGGACACAGAGTGATCACTGAATCAGGTCACAAGACCATTTCTCTTAGCATTATTTTCAAAATAAACTCTCTGGTTTATTGCTAAAGGCATCAAATCAGCTGAGGTTACAACAGTTTTCCTAACTTCCCTCAGAAGCCTAAAATATATATTCTGTAATAAGGTAAGGACTGCAAGAAACATTGTCCTCTATTTTGCTGACTTCTAAATGATTTATGAGAATTAGTTGTCTGAATTCTACAGAGGAGTCCAATGTAGGCAGCATCCCAAAGTTCAAACCTTCAAACTCATAGCCAACAAACTTACATTTAATTAAGACATCTGAAGTCCTTGATTTCATGATAAAATTAATGAGGGAAGGAAGGACAAAGAGAGAAAACTAAATTAAATTTTATCCCCTAACTAATAGCACTATTGAAATTAGGAGGTTGTTTGTTTCTTCTCTTAGTTCGTTGACACAAATCATGAGGCCATTATATTCACAAAATCTTGGTTGGTTATAGTTTTAGCTTACATGCACAGTATTTTGCAACCTGCAAATGGAGAACAAATACTGACATTGTACAAAGAAATTCAATCTGAAAATATATTACCTTTATCTTTCTCTGTGTTGGGAAAGTGTGATTGATGGCACCATAGTTCCAAAAAGAGCTCTGGTTTCCCTTCCGATACCATATCACAGACTCCTGTGTGCCATCTTGGATAAGCACTCTCAGCTCATTCATCTCCTCTGATCCAAACATATAGTACCAGAAGTCGATGCATATTTTTTCAGAAACAGCAGTCTCTGGGCTCTCCAGCCTGTTGATGTCAAACGGGATCAGATTACTTGCTTCTTGGTAGATGAAATAACCTTCTGCAGAGTGAAAAAAAAAAAATACAGTTGAATCTTCCTAATTTGTTAGATGTTGTCTAAAATTGAAGCACAACCCAACTCTGGAAGAAATCAAGGGCATCATTATCAGTGCAAAGAAGCAAAGTGGAGGGTGTTTGGACTTCATGTTGCAATGGTTAACCCCATATACTTATCCAAAGTAGAATGTGAGCCTGAGAGCAAAGCAAATATATTTCATCTCATGTGAACACTTATTTTGGAATCACAATTAAAGACATAGGACTCTTTTGAGAGACAGCGCCTCCAGACACAGTACCATACTGATCCAGGTTCAGTTTCTGCTTTCCTCAAAGGAAAATAATGTAATCTGCTATACACCTTCTCATGTGGGATAACTTTTTTTTTCCCTAATGATTTTGGTTTCAAGATGAGTAAATCCCTGGCACTGACAGCATTTGGTTTTGTCTCAAAATTTAAGAAATAGAAAGTAATGCTTATATTTTGTTCAAAATATTTATATTTAACATTATGAAAAGGAAGGAATTTTTTTCAAATTCAGAAACTTGCAATGTTTCTTTTAGGATTTGAAATGCTTTAGTCTGATTGATCTTAGGCTTGAAGTATTTTGCTTCACGTAGACTAAGATCAAAGTTACATTTCCCCAGTGCAGCTGGAGTCAAGTTTCTCCCATCTGACTATGGAAAGGAATCAAAAATAAATGAATGACCACACATTCAGTCATATATTAAAGTTGGCAAGAAAATCTAAGTACTATTTAAAGTGATAAGGTCTCTGTCAATTAAAAAAGTAAAACATTATTATTCGTCTTAATCCAAATTAAAAGCATTCAATTTCTTCTTCCAACAGGCAATTTTAATTGTTATTATAAAATACTAAAAATTCAGAAAATTATTTAGCAAAAATCTGAACTAATACCATTCTAATCCGCTTGCTGACTTTGACAGTAGCTGAACTTTCAGTCTTGGGATAATTACAAGAAACAGGATGACTGCAAACTGATCCCCATAAATGGATATTCTAGTGCAAGGATAGTGGTTCAAGCACATAGAGATGGAGCCATGGAGCATTTGTTTGCTAATATGACCATGTCAGACTCCAGTTTTAAAATCATAGGTAGCTGAGGACGGACTTTTAAAATATATTCTTTAATTTCAGACTTGATTTTGTAACACTTTTCTGGCATGAACTTTATCTAGGGCCAGCACAGTGATCATTAAATTTGTTGCCATTAACTGATATCAGTGTAATTTGGCCACAAACCCTGTCTTGAAAAATGGTCTGTCACATGGCACTACATTCTCTATTAGGTCTTAACATGATATAATTATCTTCCTTCTACTTCCATGCACTGATTAAGATATCCGACCTATGATAGGCAACTCAATTTAACTTACTCCTAACTGATATGGTGAAAAGTCATAAACAGGTGTCAGTATGAAACGAAACCAATGCATTTCAAGAGTTTTAAGAATCTCTTTTCTCTTCCAAAGAAATGATAAAGGTAAGTCAAGCTGTCTGAAAAAAAACAAACAAACAAAAACCAGCAATGCCACAGCCAAGCACTTACTCCCATCAGGATAGTCTCCATCAGGACCTGTTCCATCAGTCGGAGTGTCATGCTTTGTCCGTATCCACACCCCCTGGTTGATACTGCAGGGCTGGGTCCAGTCACAAAATGGTCTTGAGTTATTGTTGAAATCACATCTGCTGAGGTAAGCTGAAATACAACACATTAAGGTGAGGAAGAGGAGCTAGTATGTTCAAAATTGGATGTTAACACCACTAATGACATGCAGTTACCTGTTTCAGGATCCCATGTTCTCAAGCCACCAGTTGGCCTTTGCTTGATCCTGCCAAGAAAAGCAACAGAGTGAAGCCCTTGTGGAATTAATGACTCAAAAACTGTTTAAGAAAGCATATTGGGACCTCAACTTTTGCCTTTGGGTGTTTCACTGAATAACTGAATAGACGCTGAGTTTGATCCATATCTTACTTTCTCTTCCCATATGGAAAGACAGTGAGTCAAAGGTGGGATATGTTCACTTCATCTAGTGTGGAAGGATTCTCTGCTCTGTATCCCACTGAACTGAAATGAGAGGAGTTTTACTAGGTACAGGGAGCTATGGAAGAGATGGATGGATATAGCACAGCTCAGACAATATCAGGATAATATCAAACATTTTTCTATTAACTTGCTCATGTCATTATTATCCCCACTGTTTCAAAGCAAAGTGTGTAAATGCCAGTAAGATAGTGTATTGTGTAAGTGTAATTTGCTGGAAGGCTACATATTTCCTTTAACTGCTGCAAATCTCCCATGACACAAAACTTTCATTTCATTCAGCTCTTCTGATTTACCCTAAAAATGCTGCAAAAAAAAAAAAAAGCAGTTACAAATGCACAGTTCTTGTGTGCTACAAAGTCCTGCAGAGATAAATTGACACAAGGCCAAAATCCCACCACATATCACAGTATAAATGGTTCTGCTTTTGGGATGTTTTGCATAGGGAAGGGATTTCCATGACTGCAAGGCTACAGCAGTGGCTGTTGACATACTCTGACTGTGGTGCATAATTTCAGGTGGCAGGTTTCAGTTCCAAATTCTGTGGTACCCTCTCCTTAATTATTCTTACTGTACTTGACACAGTATAGAGACTCTGTGCTTAAGTGAATGCATCACAATGAATGTCCACAGTGCTCAAAATCCAAGCAATGACATTCAGAAAACTAGGGACATTAGGAGCAAATATCACAATGAATTCATCATGAAATGATGCAATGAAATGCAGCAAGCAACTCTAAAACAGATTGAGCTAAAAGATAAGGAGGAAAAAGAATATGTAAAAACAGATAAAATAAGAAAGTTTTCTTCATTGTTCTTCTTGGATTTCTTCTACCATGAGAAAGGGAAAGCTGAGGGAAGTTTCCACTTGGTCTCTATTCAGTGTAATCTTTAAACTGTTACACATTATGCAAGTCCTAAGCCATGGATTACTATCAGTATATTCAGAGTCAAAGAGTTTTATAATGACTGTGGTTATTTTATCCAGATCTCTCCTCTTCAGATGTGCCATTAGAAATCCATGTTACAGTTTTCTCTCTCAGACAGGAGCCAGTGTAGAATTAGGTAACCACAAAATTCAATTATTTCTTTTTTAAAATGACGTGGTTCAATTGTATAACATTCCACATTTAAAAAGTGAAGAAACATTCCACATTTTAAAAGCGAAGAAAGGATATTTATCATTAACAGCTAAGTTTCCTCAGTTAGGCTATATTCATTGCTGGACTACTTACCCTGTGGTATTCAGCACTGAAATACAGAGTAAAATTAGAGTGTATTGTAAATGCCAGAGAGTCCCCATGCTAGAACACAGAGTAAAGTCTTCTCTGTGGTATGGTTTGCATAGTAATCCACCAGCTGTACTCAGCAAGGAGAAAATGAGGACGACCTATGGTGAAACACATAAATATATTGACAAGAGGGTGGAGGCGATTATAAAAATCTGTCCAACCCTGTATCATGTTCCCTGTGTTATCTACCCTGAGAAAAACACCTATGAACTGAATACTCATATTCTGTGTCACTTGTTTTGTCACCCTTAGCTGTTTGCTGGAGAAATTGATGTGATTTTGGCAATTTTTGTTGCTGTTGTTTTATATTAAAGAAGCCTGTAGTTTTAAAGGGATTTTCTTCTGACATAGATAGCAAGACAAATTATTTCATTTTAAAACTCCTGCCCAGCTTCCACTACCAGTATAAGTGAGATTTCTCATTTTGACTGAATTTGTTCCCTTTCTGAAACTAACATTAAGCAGAGCAGATAACAAGACTTCAATTTACTCACAACAGTTAAGTTTTCATGGGCACAATTCAGGAAATTGCTGAAATACCACATTTTCCCTGCTAAAAAATAAAGGACCATTTTCTGGGCTTCAATGAAGTCTCTTGGTTGCTGACAGCCCAGGAGAAGCAGGTGGATCCCCCCCACTGCCACCTGGACTTCTGTTCTGGTGTTTTTCAGCATTCCTTGAACTGGGGTCTGAGAAAAAATATGGCTCAAAGGCGAACAAGTTCCCTACTTCACTTGGATTTCATGACTGATGAGAATCAAAAGAGTGTCAGAAAGTGTACAGTATTTCTTTGCACTACCTGGAAACCCCAGACAATGGCTCTTTTTCTTTTTTCTTTTTTTTTTTTTTTTTTTTTGATAATATTCTGATGATAAAGATAATTAAACCTTCAGAAATTAATCCTGGAATTTCTTCAATTCCCTTTCACTCTGCTCATGAACAAGTAACTAAGGAGGCTATGTACAGAAACAAGAGAAATAGGGACAGATCAATGGAGGCTAAGCAGAAACACAAAAATATTTCAAGTTAGATGTTAACTGATGTGTTGACAATGAGCCTGGGGCTGTATTCTGCCACAAGCTCATGCTCTACACAAGCCTTTGCAAAGCAAGAGGGTAGATGCTCACTTGACTAATAATAATCCCCCTCCACTGTAAATCCTTTCCTAGGAAGATATGTGTACTTTTGCCAGCCAGTAAACAGGGAAGAGAATTCCTGTGATTTCAAGACAAAATATTAATTCCCTGCACAAAACCATTGACCACACTTTTCCAGTTCAGTGGAGAAGAGCTTAATGTGAGGGGGAGAATACAAGTGACCATCAGGTACAAGTTTCATTGACACACTGCATTTTCAGCAGGGCTGCTGAGGTGATGGCCAGCAAGTGTTAATCTGGGCAATAGCTGTCCATAGCACTGCAATGAAGAGCAAGGAGCCCTCCCTGTATGCACATGCTTTCCTTCTGCAGACTAGGGATATTTCATTAATCTGGTGCTGCTCTGTATCATTCTGACAAGAAGATGTGAGTCCATCTTGGAAAGAAAGAAGCCCTCTGTTAAGTTCATCAATCCATTCATCCATTCACATGATGCACTGTCTTTGACCCCTCCTCACCCAAAGCAAATGTGAGGCCCTGTAACACCACAAACACTCCTTCAGCCATGCTGTGGGACCTTTTCTGTGACTTTGTCACTCCTGTTTAATGGCATCTCAGGCACTCTGTGAAAAGTGAACTGGAGTACTCATTAAAGCTTTTCAGGGAGAGGCAAATATTAATAACCTCTTTTCCATATAGGAAGGATGATAAGGAAATGGCTTGCCATCTGATTCCAGATCCCCCATTCCTGACAGTCAAGCCAATCACTTTGTCCCAAGCAAGACAAGTCAAAAAATGAAAGAAGCAAACTCAGCAGTTCACCCATTCTACTGAGTGCTGTCTAGTGCAACTCACTGCACAGTTACATGTAATTGTCCTCAAGTACCTAAATCTGGTTCCTCCATTTTCTTGAATACAAGTGTTCTCCTATGAACAGCAGTTGCAATTCACTGTGTGGCTAGTGCTCAGCCTATGGTGTTGAAATCAGTCAAAAGCTAGAAAGCTTGAAAAGCTTAAAGGATGGGGAAAAATATATAGAACCTCTTTGTCCTAAGCCTTCAAGAGACTGCTACACTGCTGCCTAGCACAAAGAAGAGAGGTTGCTGGCTGATATGAAGTGCTGTTAGCTTGTTGGGATGCACTTGCAGCACATGTATATCACAGAGTCTATTCTTTCTGAGGCTATATCTAGAAGAAATTTTAAATGAATTAACTAAATGGCTGTTCTTAAACAGCAGAATTCTGTGCAGGTTCTCTTAATTTAGAATACATTAAGTTCTGTAAATTTGCACATAAAAACTAAACATCTTTATCTGATTTTCCTACAGTATGACTGTATCTCATTGGGCATTGCACAGGTTTAATGGCAATGGTTTTTTGCATCCATTTCAGTTAAATTTATACAATTTGTGTGAACAAAAGGATCTCTCTGTTGTTTCTATTCAGGCAATAATTTCTTCCTCTATCCTGACAAATGACCGAGTCAGTTTTTGCAGCATCTTATACCTCTGTCACTCTGCAACTCCCAGTGACCGTTGGCTCCACTCTGCCTTTACTGTCATTGTGGATGAGAAGGCACTGACAGATCTGCCATTTCTTCAGCAATCTCTCTGTGTTGGGACTCCTGTTGGAGCTACACACAAGTCACTGTTCTGATAAACATTCACCAAGGAGTTATGAAACAAACAATCAGCACCCACAAATCTATAAACAGATATATTTAGATTACACAGGAGTGTAAGTAATCCCACTTTTGCTCTGTTGAGTAATATGTTTTGATAGGCTGACAGGACACAAAAAATGTCTGTTATAAATGGATGTTTCTTTGATGAGTAAAGTCTTTGTGTTCTGTTGAGCACAGACTGAGGCTGTTTTTTTTAACTGCTGGCTCTCCAAATTGAAGCTTCAATTTGAAATTCAAGCTCTCTCATTCCTGGTCTGAAAGCTGTAATAATTTTGAAAATGAAATGCAGCATTCTTTTTAGAGTATAGGTGCCAGATTTAAATTTCATTATCTTTCTTATGTTTTGAACAAAGCAGAGATAATAGAAATAAAAATATAACAGCTTTTCTATTGCTTTTTCAGTTGTCAACTGCCTATGGACAAAATTCCTGAGGGCAAATAGTACTCTTATACTTTTTTATCTTTGAGCTGAAGTACATCCCAA